GTGTTTTTCGCAGCATCTGTATCTTGATCTCTGCTGTGTTTTCTTAACAACAATTTCCCTTAATGGCTTGGTTCCTGGAACAGAACTTGGTCACTAAATGAAGAGTATGCCTATAGAGTAGAGTGGAGGCTCTTGATTCAGTTCTGTTACATTACAAGGCTTCTTGCTAAGGTGAAGATGATGATATTATCCATTCAATCGGGTTTGATTCTTGGTGATTCTGTGGGCCAGGTGTCTCCATGCCTTCTGATCTTGCATTACTTCTTTGAGTTGTTCTATGCTGTGGCTTGGGTCAGCTTTGAAGGTGTCCAGACACCATGTGCTTTGGTGGTTTGCTTTCCTTTTAACATTAACTCTTCCAGGCATAATTGCTTTCTCCAGGAAATCTTGCAAAGGTATCTGTGCCATTTGGAGATTTTGTCCCAAATAACTTGGAGTTATTTCAGCTCTTCAATAGTAATGTTATTTTCTCCACTCTAATATTAGTAGAGTGGGGAAAACATGAGGTATGGCTGATTGTATTGCTATTAGTCATTTTATACTGTATCCACATGACTGATTTATCCTATTTTCATACAGATTTCTGATATCCATGTTACTGGAGAGTCAGAGGATATGTCTGCTAAAGAGCGATTGCTTCTTTGGACGCAACAGATAACAGAAGGTTATGCTGGAGTTCGTTGTGAAAACTTCACTACCTGTTGGCGAGATGGGAGATTATTTAATGCCATCATTCATAAATACAGGTATTTGCACTTTTGTTAAGAATGTATGTGGAAATAATTATTCTGAGGAATTAGAAAGTTGGAAAGATTTATCATTAAACCTGAGGTCTGTTTGGTAAAGCATGCATCGTACATTGTAGCAATTAGACCAGCGGTCCCCAACTTTTGTGGCTTGGCGGCCCAGCTGGAGGGGAGAGGGGAATTGGGCCGTGCGAGCAGAGGGCTGATGTGCATGCGGGAGCAGCAGGCTGGCGTGCACATGTATGTACTTGCAACTCAACTTGCGCAAGTTGAGCTGTGCACACACACCAGCCTGCCTGGCATTCATGTTGAGCTGCATGCATGCACTTGCTGCCAGCCTGCTGCTTGCGCTGACCAGTTCCAATTAGGCCATGGCCCAGTAGTGGGCTGCGGCCTGGGGGTTGGGGATCCCTGAATTAGACAATGGTATTTTGGAATCAAAGAGGTAATCTTCTTGGCAGTCCAGCTGGGGGGGGGAAAGAGGGGAACTGGGCCGTGCAAGTGGAGAGCTGATGTGCAGGTTCATACACTTGTAACTCAAGTGTTTGCGCATGTGTTGACATCAAGACTCTGATGTCATATTTACAGGTTACATTATTTGAAATTTGCCTTCCTGGGCCTTGATATTATTGTCCAAACATGGGTCAAAGACTCAGCAAAAACATTTAAAAATGTATAATATCAAGATATCGGACGTATTATAATGAAACCGCATTTTAACAGACCATTTGGGGTGGAGGAAATCTATTAAACCTAAATATCCGTTAAATTTGAAAGTACGTTACAGCTTTGATTTACTGTATTTACTATATTTGATTTGTGTCATGAAGCCATAGTGTAAGGCATATTGTAGAATTAAGGTAAAATTTATCTACATTTAAATGCCTTGTTTATACTTCTTGAGATGCAAAGAAAAATATATATATATATTTTTTTTTTGCAGGATGTGGCCTATTTATATAGAGCTTTAGTCAGTTGCATCCAAAATCTGCTAAACAGGAGTGAATTAAATCAAGGTTTCATGGTAGTTTATTTAAGAAACTCAGCTTCCAATTTTATTTATGCATTTTTAAAGTACGACTCACGGTCTTTAAGGATACATTTGAGAATTTTTTGAGCAATGTCTGATGATAGTTCAGAAGCCAGAGAGGCAGCTCAAAGGGTGCTCACTAGTTGAGAAAATTGGGCTGTCAGGATCAAGTGACCTCTAAAAATCTTTCCTGTGGTTTTTAATAGAGATAAACATGGCTCTGAGTTAAAAGACTCAGGGGGAACTGAAGACATTCCTGGAGGCTGGGATCACAGTGGCTGTTTCCTTGTCATCAGATGACAGGATAACAGAGATCATGTTCCCAGATGTGAGAAACTTTTAAAATACTGGTAGCTTGTCGAGTGTTTTGTAGGGGAAGGAGCAAGCCAACTCTTTATTTATAATGAGTGGAAGGAGCAGAAAAGGTGAAACAAGTTAACATTTGTTGATCTCTACATGACTTTTCCTTTCTCCTTGTAAGGGCTACACTGCGGAGGAACTGCAAGACTTGGCATTTAAGTTTAGTCTATGAATGGTTTAAGTTGGGTTCCCATGTGTTTGGTACATTAGAAAGTGTTTCTTGAATAAATGTGTTATCCTGTCTTTTTTAATTTTCACTTTTATGTGTATGTTTAGATTAGATAATTGCTTTCAGAAAATTGCTGGGGGCTATTTTTATTGCTGAAGCCAACAGAAATTCCTTCCTGAACTAGTTAGTTATTTTGTCTCCCTGGTCGTTGTTGTTTTTATCTATTCCTTTAGCTATATCTCCAAAATTATAAATGTTAAATAAAATCTTACATAGCACCTCTGAAGAATTGAAAGGATGATTGTAGCAAAGTTACTGATTTTATAAAGGCAGAATAGAAATTCGCACTAAATGTGTTTGTAATAAGTAAGTCACTGGTAGAACATAATAAAATAACAAATTGCTAACATGCATCAGGTGTGTTTTTTATCTAGGGATAAAGTTTTATAGTAGTATTTGAAGTTCAACTTCATTAAACAGGTTTTGGTATTGCAAAACACGTATAACCTGTTGCCTTGGGTCTTCTGTAATGGATTTATCTGTCTTCCTGTTGAATTGGAGCAGCAGGTTATTGGTAGCATTCAATTCAGTCATTTTTTGTTATTTTTGTATGGGTGCAGTTCTGTCCCATCTTAAATACTTGATTGAGATGGAATAGGAAAAGACAAAACATATTTACTTCCAAAAAAGTTAAAAGTGCATTTTTATGGAAGGTTTTTTCATTGTTCATTTTTCATACAATACTCTTATGTATGATTCCTCAGAAATCAGTGAGATTTTTGGATTACATCTTGATATTTTTTTAAAATATATAAAATAAGTTAAATTAGGATAAAATTTCTAGAACTGATAATATCTAGAAAGTCAATTTAATATTTGTATATAATTTGTTGGCACAACTTGGGCTCCTCTTAGGAATGGTATACTCTAAAGATAATTATCCTATTTCAATATAGTATTGGTTCATATTAGTAGCCGTGCTGCAACATCATAACAAAATACAAAAAGACCATGTGTATCTTCAGAAAGCATACAGTTTTAATCAAATAAGACCACATTGTACCTCTCCAGGAATTTCCTTGTCTTATAGTTTCAGTTCCAATAATCCTGGTATTGAACAGCAAATAAAATTTTGGGGTTTCCTTACAAATAAGTGAAATTGCTTCTAAGTAAATGTGTGTAGAACAGTCAACATACAGAAAATGTTTTTGGATGTTTAAGGGCGATTGAGAGAAATTAGGTAAGCTGCACCAAAAGATATGAATCATAGTATGTTTGTCGAGTTTTATTGTGACCCTGATTTTTTGGGGCGGGAAGAGTATGTTCTTCCTGATCCTCTTAGAACTCATAGTTACTCTTAATACCATCAATCATGGTAGCTTTCTGGATTGCTTGTGAAAAGTAGGAGAAGGAGACACAGTGTTAAGAAGGGTTCAATTCCTCCCCCTGTCAGCAGGGAGAGTGAAGAGAGCTTGCATTAATTTCTCTTCCTTCTGACGTTTGCAGGATTCATTTCACTTTTCTTCTACGTGGAAAAGATCATTCTATCAGTTTCAATAAAGATTGATCTCCACGACTTGTCTGAATTAGTCCAATCAAGCTCTGGTTTGTACACTAGTTGGTAGTTCCTCTTGTACAATAGTAACTTGTGCCCTCATGAACTCTAGGATAGACTACTGTTATGTACTCTACATATGTTCTGCCTTTGGAGGCTATTTTGAAGTTACAGTTAGTGTGAAATGATTTGTCCTCTATAGCCACTTAACTCTGATATTGTGGATGCTCAATTAGCTTCCAGTAGGATTCTGAATACAATTCAGATTGTTGGTTTTGAACTATAAAGTACTTTTTGGCTTGACTCCAGATATCTCCAGGACAGTCTTCTTTAAATAGAACAAACCAGTTCTGACTGCACATCTCATCTAAGAATATTAAGAATTTCCCCTAGGTATGAAGTTTAGGAGAGAGGAGACCAGTAAGGAGATATTTGGTCATAGGAAAAAGACTACACAAGAGATTTAACTAGCATCCTCTGTGTGGATTTTTAAAAAGGAAGTTAAGATACAGCTGTTCTCCAGAGTATTTCGTTTGAGAGAACTGTTACTTGGCTTATAAATATTAGGAACAATGATAGTCTTATCTCTTTGATTAATTTTATCTTTTTCTTTTTATTGATATTTTAACTTTAATACTGCAAAGCCCAGGAGTCACTGAGAAGTTTAATAATATATAAAAGTTTTAAATAAATGCAATAGTTGGGGTCAAGAAATTCTGGAGCCAGGCCTCTCCCTTTACTGATCTCTAGGCAAAAAGATGATGTTCACTTTAGCAAAAGAGAACATTCGTTCCAAACGTCAGCCTTTTAAAAATTATTTCCCTGCCTTTCTAAAATTTTCATATTTCTTCAAAGCCATAAAAATAGGCATTTATTTTGAAAAGATGGATATTAATATAACATTTATGATCACAATTGATAATTGGGGATGTGTGTAGAAGTAAAACAAATAAGAAATACTATCCTCATAGCCATACTTGTAATAATTATTGTTAATAGGGAGAGGGCATAGCTGTAGGGTGGTGGATGATTGTAACAGAATAACAGAGTGGAGAGGGAGTCTTCCAGTCCAACCCCTCTATTCAAGCAAGGAGAGCCTATGTCGATTCAGACAAATGGTTGTCCAATCTCTTCTTTCAGGTCTGATTATTTATTCTGAAGCTCAGGAAAGAAACAGACAGGCCCTCAACAGAACATAACGAGTAATTCATTAATTATAACGTAATTACAATTAACATAATTTTCATAATTTCAAACAAGAAATGAAAACTTATGTCAGAATAACAGAATTGGAAAAGACCTGGGAAGTCTTCTAATCCAATCCCCTGTTCAAGCAGGAAACCTTATACTATTTCAGACAAATGGCTGTCTAATTTCTTCTTAAACATCTCTTGTGAGGGAGCACCCACCATGTCTGAAGGCAAGCCACTGATTAATTGTGCTCACTGACAGGAAATTTCTCCTTAGTTTTAGGTTGTTTCTCTCCTTGATTAGTTTCCATCCATTGCTTCTTGTCCTGGTGCTTTGGAAAATAGGTTGACCCTCTCTTCTTTGTGGCAACCCTTTAGATATGTGAACACTGCTATCATGTCACTCCTTCTTTTCATTAAAGTAGACATGCCCAGTTCCTGCAAGTGTTTTTCGTATGTTTTATCCTCCAGTCCCCTAACCATTTTTGTTGCTCTTCTCTCTCTCTCTCTCTCTCTCTCTCTCTCTCCCTCCCTCCCTCCCTCCCTCCCTCTCCCTCCCTCCCTCTCTCTCCCTTTTTCTCTCTCTGTCTCTCTCTCTCTCCCTCCCTCCATCCCTCCCTCCCTCTCCCTCCCTCTCTCTCCCTTTCTCTCTCTCTCTCTCTCCCTCCCTCCCTCCCTCCCTCCCTCCCCTCTCCC